TCCTCTGAGGGGTGAAGACAGTGTGCAGCGGGTGGCTGGCATTGTTCATAATGTCCAGCATTTTGTCAAGTGTCCTTGTCTCTACTAGCATCCACAGAGGATGCAGCCTCTTGCCAATCACAGAGCCGGGTTGCCTCAACAGTTTGTGTAGTCTGGAGGTGTCCTTCTTGATTGTGCTGCACCACCAGCACATAACGGTGCAGAAGAGGACACTGACAACTACAGAGTGGTAGAACATCTCCAACAGCTGATTACAGATGTTGAACGACCTCAGTCTCCTCAGGAAGTACATCCTACTCTGTGTCTTGTGGTTGGTGTGTGACCAGTCCAGTTTGTTGTCCAGGCACACCCCAAGGTATTTTTTGAATCCTCAGCCTCCACCTCAGCCCCCTCCAGTAGTACTGGCTTATTCATTAGTCCATTCCTTCCAAAGTCTTTGACCACCTCCTTCGTCTTGGAGATGTTGAGCTCCAGGTGGTTGGTGTGGCACCAGTTGGCAAAGTCCCCCACCAGACTCCTGTACTCCTCCTCTGTGTTACGCCTGATAATATAATGGCTGTGTCATCTGCATACTTCTGTATGTGACACAGCACAGACTTGTAAGAAGTCAAAGGTGTATAAGGTGAAGAGGATAGGGGCCAGCACTGTGCCCTGGAGGGCTGCAGTGCTGCTGACCACAGTTTCAGAGATGGTGTCTTTCAGCATGACACACTGTGGCCTGTCTGTGAGGTAGCTGGAGACTCGTGCCACCAGGCAAGCATCAACTCCCATGCTATTCAGTTTGTCTCTGAGCAGGGAGGGTGGGGGGTGGATGGTGCTGAATGGAATCCTTTCTGTGGCACTTCCCTTATTCAGGTGGTAGTGGACTCGGTGTAGTAGGTAGAGGATGGCGACCTCCACTCCTACACCTGGCTGATATGCAAACTGCAAGTGGTCCAGGGTGTTTTGTCTTTGAGGTCTAGGGAGATTGAGGAAGATCCATAATCTACATCAGCTGTGAAGTGAGGGCCACAAGATGTGTGTTTTTTGGAGGGATGCCGTTGAGGGAGTGTGGCCGGCGCCATTATGGGTTGTCACTTCTAAGGCTGGACCTGCTGGTCCAGGGCTACACAGCTGCTCTCCTCCCTATGGTGGCCCCTGATTCAGGCCCTTTTATTTTTTTGCTTGCCACTTTCCCACACTGGGGGATCTAAGGATCTCCTCCTGGGTATGTGGGCCTGTTCCCCCTAGAGGAGGAGTCACAGATTAGTGGACCACAGTCCGGATCCGGACCCACCTGCTGGCTAATCTGGATCCAACATGATTTAAAACATTTATAAATTACCTCATTTTGTCTGACGACAGTGTCTAACTTCACTTGCAACGCTTCCCCTGCTAATAAGGTAAAGCCCTCCAGAAAGTCCGGCACCAGGCTACACGTGATACAAATTAGCCAATGAACTAGCTAGTTTGGGACACAGCAGGCAAACCTGTGGCAAGCCAGGTGAACGGAAAGAAGGAGAAGACAATGAGAAAAAGAGAGCAGGGAAAGTGTGGACTGCTGGAAAAGGCGCAGTGAAATGATGACAGAAAAGTGAAATAGTGTGCTCAAAGATGACCGTGCACATTTTGAGTATGTTTGGCTCAACCTGCTGCTGTGAAGCAGGATTCTCCACCATGACCATCATAAAAGATCAATATTGATCCACGCTCATGAATGAGCACCTTGATATTTGCTTGAGAATGGCTTTGTCACCATTCAAACCCAGGTTTAAAGCAAGGCAGGGCAGCTTAAAGCTCATTGCTCTCATTAAGCTATAAAAAATGTATAAAATATGTGAATCAGGAAATTGTCTTTTTACCAAACTTGACCATTGTTGTTCTCTACTTCAAAAAACACTTCAGATTTTAAAATGGAAATTTTTTTTATTTATTTTTAGGTTTTTTTTATTTAAAAATTCAATATATACTGTGAATGCATTGAAACCTAACTTAATTTTAGTGTTAAATTCAGTTTAAAGTAACAGATTATAATAAAAAATGTCTCCGGACCTTTACTGGTTGATGATTTTCTTTATTCAGACCCCGCAGATTTTTAAGGAGGATATTGTCTGTATGAGGACTTTAATAATAATAATAATAATAAATAAAAAATAAAAACTGCAAACATACAAAGACTGAGCTTTTTACTTACCACTGAGCTCTATGTAGTGCCTCTGGCAGAGAGGAGAATCATGCAGCTTGTAGGGGCCACCTGGATATAATGGTAAAGCTGAGCTAAATCTAGGCTAACAGACATTAAAGGTGTGAGAAACTTACCACAAGAAGGCTCGAGCAGCTATTAGAGTGTCATTAAGTGCAGCTGGCATGTTGTGCCCGGAAACACCGAGGTCTGACCTGAAAGGAAAACATGATGTCCATCAGGTGAGGAAGGCCCCTTTATATACAGACAGAATCACAACCAATCACATTCAGGTATTTGTGTGGTGCGTTCAGAGCCCACAGGGCATACTGCCACAGACAGAGTCTCATCCATGTTTTACATGGACAAGGCTCTGTTGTGCTCTGGGGCTGCTTTCCTAAAATCACAGTGTCTTGAATCTCTGCAGGATACCATTACATTTAAAAATCATCACATCTACACTTCTCTGAAGCATCTGGAAGTCCCCCTATCTACATGAAAACATTATGGAAACATAGTATTTGTACATAGCTTCATGCTTTTCCTGATCTTCTGGTTCACATTCTTTTCTGTCTTTTGTTCATTAATGATGGCAACATTAGCTCCTCATGCAAAACGAACAACTTTAATTCTGA